AAAACTCTACCATTTTTTATACCAATGAGTGTCTCTCTTCAACCTTTTCTTTTTCATTTAAATGACAAACTGCAAAAACTGCACAGCTGGTTATAGTTTTCAAGTCTTGTGGAACCTGACAGTGAAAGAGAAAGTTGTAAATTTATGAAAGTTTGAATAAAGTTCTTTTGATACCAGCCGTTTGGCCACGCCTTTTTATATTTGGATTCTTTTTTTTCTATCAACCAAGGTTGTAAAGAAAGCGTTGCTTAGTATGATTTCACGAGTTATAGGTTTTGTATTGACGAACCTAAATTTCTGATACAGCAACAGGTGGAGAACTAACGCAGTCTTTATGGGTACTCATTTGTGTCAATCATGGCTATTCAGGAGCTCAATGATGCTTTTTCAATCCTTCGAAAAATCATTCCATCCATGCCTTCGGACAAGATGAGCAAGATCCACACGTTACGAATCGCTTCTGACTATATCAGATTTTTGGACCAGGTAAGAGCGATCTCACGCGCATCCTTCTTTTGTTTTTCTTCATCAAAAAATTGTAAGTGTTTAAGATGAAGCGAGACGACTGTAAATTATTTGGAGTTGATATATTCGATGAAAAGGGAGGATATGGCCTCCAGACCTCATTCAACATCTGGAGAGGCAGTCATGGTCTCACGCAAAGTAGCAGTTTAAGTGAGTGCTTGATCCCTTATGTTGAGGTTTCTCATGTATCCTGTTCATATCTAATATCCCGCTACATTCGAACATATAGATGAAGAAGGATGTTATCCAGATACACCCGCTCTAATGCCTCCGATGGGTATGTCAGCGCCAATGCCATGCCCAATCCCACATGTGAATTACTATATGGGTGGATATGTCATGAAAGCAGGTATACTGACAGTTTATCGTTACTCTTGGACTTATGTATTCGTTCATACTTGCGCAATCATAATGTCGAGCAGTCGTTACGGCCTAAATGAACTTTGCTGTAATGATATCTCCCTCACCCTGCTGTGTTTACGACCTTTGACAAGATCGCATCAAAGAATGCCATTTTGCAATATGATACCTTGCTTATCTTGACACTCCTAAAGTAGAACTGCACAAGACATCTGCAAAAGGGAATCGCCAAAACTGTTAGGATAATCATTAGCTGAGCGAAACATGGGAAGAAGCTATTTTTTCTATATATTGTTGTGGTAAGACTCCCTTTATGAACTGCGATCCCACAGTTAGGGAGGTGAAGTTATACCGATGTTCAGATATGATGTTTTTGTGTTAGCATCTAATTTTTCATGTAAACAACGTTTTGTTGATCATTTTTCAAATTCATTTATTTATACAATTATGTGTATAGCCGCATCCTTTTGATTC